GCCTCTTCCTCCTTTCCTTCTTTCCTTGCCCCTCTGCTAGGCCTTAAAGGAACGCCAAGAAGGTTATGACCCTGTCCCCAGTGAGCAGACTCCTAGTAAAACAAACAGGAGCATATAATAAAAGATGACATGTGCTAGCGCCAAAGAGGAGGCTAGGAGCAACGTCCTGTAGCAAGGCAAGGATCACGTCTAGATAAACATGGATCCTCAACTAACAAGCAAACGTTCTTTAAAATATTTCTAAAACACAAAGACATGAGATGAAGCAGGGCATGACTCCGGGCTTTTCATTATTGGTCACATTCTTCAACACATACTTTTGAGGCTTATCCTCTAACTCCCTAAACCATGTTTTACAGGTACCAGCTCCGTCTCATGCCTTTGTAAGTTGGGCCCAAATCTCAAGTCTCAAGTGTGATTTCGCGTAGTACATCCATAAAGGTGGTCACAGTCAGCTGACATAAAGCAACCAGACCAGAGAAATGGGGGAGCCAAGTCAGCACCCCGGAGGCCTCATTACCTCTGGGGAACATCTTGGGGTAAGATCCTCCTTTCACAAATTCCAAGCAAAAGGCTTGTATTTCCCTATTCTGCAAATCACATTTACAAAGGCAAACTAGGCAAAATAAACACACACATGTTCAAAATACAGATTTTATTTTAAAAACATGTAAAGGACCAAAGTGTTCTACAATCTTCACAGATGATGATTTTTGCCAAAATCAGATCAGCAATGATTTCTCTACTCTCGCCCCTATGCCACTCCCAGAATGGAGATTAATTTCAAGTGTTTTAATATTAGTCCTCTCATTGAGAAGAGGCATATTTTAAAAATTATTTTTCTAAAAATATATGTCCATTGTAGAAGAAAATATATGTCCATTGTAGAAGAAAATTTTAATTAATAAATGAATTATCCAGAAAAAACCCCAAACATCCTGAATACTCGCTGATAACATCTTCATATTTCCTATTAGTTTTCTTATACACATAACTCATGTAATTGAGGTCTTATTATACATATAATCTTACATCCTATGTAATATTTTGTACATCAGCATGGAAAATGTGTTACGCATGATTTTATACTGAAAGGCTATCCCATGATTTGATCACTCGCTTGTCTATTTTAGTAAAGTCTGTTTCTGGGGTGAGACTGGGTGGGACCTTGGCACCTCCACTTACTGTGTGTGCCCATCAGGACTCCCTGACTTGGTCTCCTCTGGCGTTTCTGAGTCTTAAATGAGTTAATAATGAGCACAGCACTTATATAGTGCCTGACACATTATGAATGCTCCGTACTTTTAGCTGTTAGTATTTGTCATGATAAAATTACTTTGTACATCTTTCGGGGGTGAGAAGCTAAAAAAATCATAGCAAAAGAGTGTATATAAAACAGAAAAAAATCCAGTAGGACTGACAGGAATTTCTCTGATACTATCAGAAATAAAATTTTGTACAGATTTCCATGTTTGGCATGTAATGGATATTCAATTGATGCCATTCAGTGAATTTCTCAATGAACCAATGGCTTTTAGCTTAGGGGCATAGCTCTGTCACATTTTCACTTGTTCCTGTGTGTAAGATGTAACTCTGGAAAAAATATATATAGAAAGTCATCAGCTTCTTATGTCCTTGGGATCAAAGACAGTGTTCAGCAAGTAGAACCACTTGATATAGTAAAATGAAGGTTGCTAAAGTTGCCAAAATACCACACAAATGTATATTTGGGAAGAGATTCATTCATCTGATTGAAAGAGCTTTAAACTGAAATTGTCAAAGAAATTCCTGTTAAAACTTTGAGGGGCTAGCCTGGTAGCACAGTGGTTAATTTGGCTCTGCTTCAGCGGCCCAGGGTTCGTGGGTTCTTATCCTGGGTGTGGACTTAAACACCGCTCATCAAGCCATGCTGTGGCAGCATCCCACATACAAAATAGGGGAAGACTGGCACAGATGTTAGCTCAGGGACAATCTTCCTTACCAAAAACAAAACAAACATAAAAACTCTTAGAAAATATCTAGTAATTGTGGGGAGAAAACAACAGCAAAATAGCCTAGTTTTGGGGACAAAACCTCCTAAACCAATTCCTGAAACATGAGCTATTACTTCTGAATTAATGACAAAACATTTAAGAATAAAGAAAACAACTCCCTTTATAATAGTGTGAAAAAGAATAAAACACTTAGGAATAAACTAAGCCAAGGAGATGAAAGACTTGTACATTAAAAACTATAAAACATTGCTGAAAGAAATCAGAGACACAAATAAATGGAAAGATATCCCGTGTTCATGGATTAGAAGATTTAATACTGTCAAGATGTATTGCACTCAAAGCAACCTTCGGATTTAATGCAATCACTATCAAAATCCCAACGGCGCCTTTTGCTGAAATAAAAAAATCCATCCTAAAATTCATACGGAACTTCGAGGGACCCCAAAAATAGCCAAAACAACCTTGAAAAAGAAAGAACAATGTTTGAGGTCTCATATTTTCTGATTTTAAAATATATTACAAAGCTACAGTAATCAAAACAGTGTGGTATTTGAAAGACATAGAGACCAATGGAATAGAACAGAAAGCCTAGAAGAAAACTCCTGTCAAATGATTTTCAACAATGGTACCAAGACTATTCAATGGGGAAAGGATAGTCTTTTCAACAAACGATGCTGTGAAAATTGGATATGTACATGCAAAAGAATGAAGTTGGACACTTACCTAATACCATATACAAAAATTAACTCAAAACGGCAAGGGACTTGAACAGACATTTGTCCAAAGAAGATACACAAATGGCCAAAAAGCATAGGAAAGGATGCTCAATATCACTAATCACTAGAAAAATGCAAATCAAAACCACAATGAGATACCACTTCATACCCATTAGGATGGCTACCATGACAATCAAAAACAAAAATAACAAGCGTTGTTGAGGACATGGAGAAATGAGACCTTTATGCACCGCTGGTGGAAATGTAAAATGGTATAGCTACCATGGAAAAAAGTATCACAGTTCCTCAAAATATTAAAAATAGAATTATCACATGATCCAGCAATTCCACTTCTGGGCATATGTCCAAAAGAATTGAAAGCAGGGTCTGGAAGAGACATCTGTACACCTATGTTCACAGCAGCATTATCTACAACAAGCAAAAGATGGAAGCAACCCAAGTGTCCCTCAATAGGTAGATAAACAAAATGTGATATACACGTACAACAGAATATTAGTCACCCTTAAAAAAGGAAATTCTGACACATGCTACAACATGGACGAACCCCAAGGATATTATGCTTAGTGAAACAAGCCAGTCACAAAAAGACAAATAGCGTGGGGCCAGCCCAGTGCCGCAGTGGTTAAGTGCACACATTCTGCTTCGGCGGCCCAGGGTTCACTGGGTCAGATTCTGGGTGTGGACATGGCACCACTTGTCAAGCCACACTGCGGCAGGTGTCCCAAATATAAAGCAGAGGAAGATGGGCACGGATGTTGGCTCAGGGCCAGTCTTCCTCAGCAAAAAAGGAGGAGTGGTGGCAGATGTTAGCTCAGGGATAATCTTCCTCAAAAAGAAAAAAGACAAATACTGCATGATTTCATTGATATGAGGTACCTAAAGTAGTCGAATTCAATAGGAACAGAAAATAGAATGGTGGTTGCAGAGGCTGGACAGGGGAGGGAATGGGGAGCTGTTGCTTCATGGGCACTGAGTTTCAGTTCTGCAAGATGAAAACAGTGCTGGAGATTGGTTGCACAACAGCGGGAACGCATTTAAGACTGCTGAACTGTACACTTAACAAAGGTTAAGATAGTAAAATTTATGTTATGTATATTTTACCAATTTAAAAGAAATATACAACAAAAATGTTTAGGGATAAATATAAAAATATTTCATGACATATTCTTTCTGGCATTAATTTTTAGGTTCTACGTCTCTCTTTTTAAATCACTGTGAAGTATAAGTTCTCCCCAAGAAAACTGTAATTTCCATGGGATCATGGGCTGGGTCCCTCGATTTGGGCACACAGTAGACTTATAATAAGTCTTTGGTAGTTGATTGAAATAAAATTAACATGACAATGCTTGGTTAATCTTCTCTGGAGCCTCAAACAATACCCTACACTAGCTGAGCATTAGCAGCGGGCGAAGGAGATTCTCTATCCTGCAGGGACATCTACGCAGCAGACAGAAACGCCTCAACAAGAGGAGCTCTACTTAATTCCCTTAATGAAGTGCCCTGAGGACTGCTGGCCCTTAATACACTCCGCACTTTCAGGCCCTCAAGGGCGGAATCGTTTGGCATCTGGATACACAACACCCTTGCTCCTAGCCCTCCCCATACAAACTGTCCGCTCTCCTAAGCTGGATTATTCATTGTTGCCCAAATTCGCAATACACATTGTGCTTCCAAACCTTCGTTCACACTATTTGTTTCTCCTGCTTAGTATTCTCTTGCCTCAACCCAACAATGCTCTTGTCTTACTCCCATTCCTGGCAGCAAGTATTCCTGACGAAGAGCCTCTGGAGACTGCCATCTTTGGTGATGCCACCATCTATAACTCCCAGTTGGTAGGATTTTTTAAAGTTTATTATTCATATACCTTCTTTATTCAACAAGATCTAGTCACCAGTTCTAAACTGTCTCCTTGACAGTTCCACTTGAACATCTCAAAGTGACCCAAGATCAACATGCCCAAACTGAATTCAAGACTATCCTCAAACGAGGGCCCCTCCCAGTTCTCTCCACCGCGGTGAATGGCCTCTGTTACACAAGCCAGAAATCGAGGAGAGTCATCTTCATCACCTACGCTTCCTTCATCCTCAGCAAGGACCTATCATGGAATTCTGTTGATGTTATCTCCACGTATCTCTGCAGTTACCGAAATCCTGCTGTCTCCACCACCAACCTAGTCTGACACTGTTTTAATAGGTTCTATTATTATTTAGGCACGGTAAGGCCAACAGATCAGATGGCTGCCGCTACAAAGATAGTTCATTCTACTCACAATTCCCAAGAGAGGGAGTACATGTCACACTAGGGGAGGCCACCCAGGGAATCGCTGGGGTCCCTCACGAGGCAGAGGCAGAGGGAGAGGAAGGAACTCTGGGCAGGAGCCTTTACTGTGGTTTCACAGTAGGAATGAATGGAATTCACACGAAGGAATGGGCAAGGGAGGGTAAGGCAGTTGAGGATTGGCTCATTTGAATAATTCCCGCGGGCTCTGGGACTCTGTCCCCCGCTGTTGAGTACCCTGCCCTGGGCTGATTAGAGAGGTGGGTAGGGACTCAGAGTGAGAGCCCTGTGAAGGAGGTGGTTGGTGGTGTGGACTTAATCAGTGGCTCCAGAAGGGTAGCTGGCTGGCCGCAAGCCAGCGCCTCAAAACACGGTCAAGACAGCATTCCAACAACTGTACTCCCAGCGTCTCACCCTGCTCTGTTCACTTCAGTAGCCTCCTCCACACCTCCCAGTGGCCACGCTCTTTCACCTCTGACTCCTTCTCCACCCGCCCCTAAAATCCGTCAGAGCTTTCCTACTTCCTTAGAATGAAGACAGAATTCTCCAGCACGGTTCATGAGCCCCAGAACACTCTGGTCCCTTCTCACTTCCCAGGCGCAGCTGCACCTTGCTTCCTCGAACGTCACACTTAATTCTTGCCTACATCTGTATATAACTTGTCATTTGTTCCACAAAAAGGTACTTCCTGCTGAGCGACACCAGCTGCAAGAACATCTTATTGAAAGAATTGTTTAGTGATGAACATCTGAGATCAATTCCAGTTACAGGATTTATTTTTGTTTGGCAAATTAAATACTCTTACTCAACTTTAATCAGATGTTGTCAGCCATTATACATACTTATCTGCATCATTAATATGAACCCTGAAAGTAAAATGGCTGAATTTATTTCCACATAAAGAGTAGGTTTCAGGTAGACATCTTAAATTTGATTATTGAATCTCTCGATGAAAATGTTCTGTTCAGAAAGTCCTTGTTTCTAGGAACTTTATGAGCTAATACAGCCACAAATTCTGCTTTAGAATGTGCTTGACAATTCCATCAGACTCATAAACACCCTCACGACCCAATGGCAGCACGCTAACAACTCATTTCAAGATGAAATTTTTCCCACAACATTTAAGGTGCGGAAATAGGATATGACAACGTGTTGTAATTTTCTTTTTATTGATGAATTATCATCATTTTAAATAAAGCATTTATTTAAGAGGTAGCAAGTAAGTTTATTTGATCCTTGAATTTGTCATAATTTCCCTCACTAACCTGAAAATTTTGATTCATTTTACTAGGAGACAGAAGCAGTCACAAGTGACACGATTTGCATCCTATATGACTTTCAAAGGCTGCCATGCTAACATCATATAAAATCAATATTAATGGGCTTTGTGGAAAGACACATGAAGCCTAGATGAAAAAAAAGTTCTTTTGTAATAACCCTAAACTAGTTCTTTTCATCTCTAAATCTTTCCCACTTCTCCTTTTCCTCCTTCTTTCTCTTCCTTCTTCCTTTCTTCCTCCGTCCCTCTCTTTGTTTCTCTCTCCCCCACTCCCCTCCTCTCTCTCCTAATGTGAATCCATTCTTTCAGCTAGTCAGTCATTCAGTTATTCAACAAGAACGTACTGAGCACTTTCTCTACAGTGGACACTGCACCAGGCCCTCGAGACGAAAGAGTGAGAAGGCAGAAACGATCCCGTCACTGGGAAGCTCACACTGCAGAGGAGGGACCCACCGTCAGGTAATCATAACCAAGCACGGGAGATGCTCTGGTAGAGAAAGTGGAGGGTGCCAGGAAAGCACTTGGGAAGGAAAGTCACCCTTGCCCAGGGGTCACAGAAGGCTTCTCAAAGAAGTGACATCTCAACTATGGCATCAAAGAATTAGCCAGATGGACATTTTGATTAAATTTCAACTTAAGCAGAAAGAACACTGATTGAGAGTCTAACTGTAAGTATTCTGGCTACACCCAGTTCCTTCCCCAACCTCCGTATAATCCTGAGGAAGTCACCTCAACTTCCTAGGCCTCATCCCAAATCTACAAATGAGGCGATGGCACTTGGCGAACTCCTTTCCACGCTGGGATTCCCACTTCACGTCTCTGCACCCTCCTGGTCTGGGTCTCCATGTCCGTCGCCTCTTGCCCACCTGGTTCCTCCCAGCTCCAGACCCCCCTCACACTGGCGCCAGATCCCTCTTTCTAAGGCCCTGCTCCAGGTCCCCTCTCTGCCTCCAGGATATTTAGTGGCCTCAAGATAACCTCTCATCTCGCCCTGCGTTACCACTCCTGCCTCATCAAGCCAGCAGGAGCCTTCCACCTTGACCAGGCTACAGGGCACACACAACGCGGGGGTCACTCACACCTGCTCACTCCTGCCAAGGAGCCCTCGGCCTCTTTTCCCATCTGGTCATTTCTGATATATCCCAGGAAGCTCCCCTCACGTCCTAACTTTCTCTATGAAACCTTCCCAGACGACCCCAGCCTGCACTGATTCCCCTCTCTCGGAACATCTACTCTGCCACTTATTGTGAAACCTCCTTTCTATTACCCAACACTATAATACGTATTATTTTTATTTCTCTCATGATATTACAAATTATTTTAGCTTTTAAAAATCCTTTTATTTACCCTCCGCCCCTGGCTCCTAACCACCCTCTCTGTAGGAGTGTTAAGCTCAGATTACTCACAGAATTGAATGAAAATAAAGACATAAATTTTCACCTAGTTCCTAAATGCCATTTGCACCAGGCCTAGAATAAATGGACTTATAAGAAACAAAATATTCCTTCATCTGCAATCTCTCTTTCTTCTTTATTTTCAAGGACCAGGCACCTTTCAGCCAGTAGACATGGTCTAGTGGAGAAGGCCCGTGAGGAGGGGCCCAGCATCCCAAGTTCCCTTTCTGCTCCGCTGGTCTCCAGCTGGCTCACTTTGACCTCGTTCCCAGTCCCTCTGTGCCACAACTGTCTCACCTACAAAATGAAGGAGATTGGTCCAGGTAATACTGAGAGTCCCTTTTTAGTCTCTGCCTCATGGAGATACTCATGCTCCATAACCCAGGACACGTTAAATAAGCAGAGGGGTACCTGGTTCAAGAGGGAGGCACAGGTGGAGGTAAGGGGAGAGTGAGACGAAATAGGAGACGAATTATATCACAAGTTCAACAGACAAAATGAATTTGGTAAATATTTGTCCAGGTAAGATAACAGCTCATGCCTTGAACACATTATCCCTCTGGGGGGTCAGCTAACCACATCCGTCCATCACCAAGCAGTTTAAACTCTGTTCCTTTCACAGCGTCTCCCTTATGATTACAGATGTGGGCTCTTGAGGCAACTGCATGATTTTCAAGGTCTTGGAACAGTTCTGAACTTAGTCAGAATAGCCCTCTGTTGAAAGATGGAAGCGTATCGTAAGACTTAGTAAAATACCACCCTATTGTACGTGCAGGTTGCAAAGTTTTTATGTTGTTTGTTGTTGTTGTTGGCTTGTTTTTTGTGTTAACACTTCTTAAGGATAGATTTCAAACTTTGTATCTTGGGATCACAGATCTTGATGCAATATTAGCCTGGGGCAGGAGAGTGAAGTAATAGAAACAGAATGTTTCCAGTGAAACCACAGGGTATTCTCAAGAACACCCAGAGATGCCCGCCTGGGTGGCTGGGACATCAGGAACCCTCCTGCCAGAGCTACTGATAGCGTCAGCAGACAAGACACTCAGAGCACATTTTCTTAAAGTACTCTTTCTGATACCAAAAAACTATGTAGATATATTGATTTACTATTTTCAGATGGGTAGTGGCCAGCATGTAACCATATTCCTTCCTTTTTTTTTGCACTCCTTTTTTTTTAATGTGGAAAGGGAAATGTGACCTCTCACCTGGTGATCTCTCTCCTTTTGGGCTTCTTGGCTTCTTAATTTCTCTCCTTGACTCATTTGACATCTCTGAGCCTCGATTATCCAGCAAGTAATAACGTGGCAAGGTATTTAGCATGATAACTAGGATCTTTTTTTGATTTATTTGTTCATACTGACCTCATTCCAAAAGTGATCTGAAGAGAATACTTGGCAAATAGTAGGTGCTGAATAAATGTTAGTTTTCTTCCCCTCCTTTCTCCATTCAAATTACCCCTAATTTTCTTGAGCAAAAGGATAAACAGCAAAGCAGGCGGAATTTGGGGACAGAGGCTATGGAGGTAAAGTATGAGTGAGTGATATAGCTGTTCCTTTCAAAAAGCTTCCCCATGTGAAGGATTGACACTCTTTCACAAGACACAGGACATCTGGAAGGGGAAACAGGAGGCTGCACACGAGAAGTAGAACATTGGCAAGTGCCTCTGCAGACGATAAAAGAGGAAGTTACAGGCAGGAGGAAGTTTTCATGGCTAGAGCAGCTGTCCATCCGGGAGCTGTGCAGCCTGAAGCCAGAATACACAGTTTTATTACAATGACATTTGAAATTTATATAGCCTTTTTATATTGCAAACAGCTAACCAAATCTTCATCATGCAGGCCTCGTACTTGTCCTGTAAGGTTTTATCAGCTGGGCCATTCTAGAAATGAATACGATGCAATGGAAATCAGAAGTTGAGGCTCAAGTGAGCTTGGGCATGCCAACGGCCCTCTCTGGACTCAGTTTCTCTATATGTAAAATGGGCTAATTTAAGTTCCCTTTAAGTTCCAAAATCCCACAGTTCTGCCTTCCCTCACCACGGACACTGGGTACCTTCGCCCAGCCCCTGATAGTACTCAGCTCACCAGGATCTTGGATCCTCACTTCCTTACTCTTCAAATTTTAGCCTCAAAATTTTTTCTTCTTCATATTAAATAAGCAAAGTGTTAAAGGAGTGGGCATTCTTTCTTTAATCCTAAATTATCTGCAACTTTTAGGTTGACTCTGTCTTCACAGATACATAATCATAAACCTTTCTCAAAAGCCCACCTGTCAGGACAGTTCACACCATTTACAACTAACATCATCATGATTAATATGCCTTTTCCTTACCACATCATCATGTCCTAGAGTCATAATCTATAAACAGAGCGGACAGAATTTCAAATAAAAAACACAACTGCTTTTCAGGGGTATTTAAAGTCTTCCATAAATACAGCCAGGAATTCTAGTCGAGAAGGACTGGGTCAAGACTTCACAAAAGGTTGTCCGTAAAAACACAAATTCATTCTTCCATTTTTGGACACCTTTTGGTATCTACTTTAGTCACGAAAATTATATCGCAAATTAACTGTGCCAGGGAATTTTTTTCAAAAGTAAATTTGATGCCTTTCCAAAATTGCATGAGTTTGCCTTAAATCAGGAAAGAGGCCAAGATTTACCCACTGTGCTAAGTTAGCAACCATCGCAAAAAGTTAAATTTGAGGTCAAATAAAAGGAAACGTCATTTAGAAGGAGACCACAGTAGAAAACAAACTCTTAGCATCTCCAGAGTTTAGATAGGATTATTAATTACCCAAAACAATAAACAAATAAAAAATGCTTATACACACAGGTAAACATAACATAGTATATATGTGATATACTGTATCCATTAAAATAAATTTGGATATTTTTCAGATTAGTATAAATTTTATAAATGTATATTTTGACAAATAAAATGGATTTTCCAAATGCCAATTAAATAGAGATATCAACTCTAATGATTTTGCAACATTTACTTGATACATTATTAATGGGAAATCTGGGCCAATTCCCATGTATTTCAACTAATGCCAAAAGATATAAAATGATTCCATTTATAATTCAAAGCCTGGAGTCACTGCAAGTAAAACAGTTTTACTGTTAAATATTGCAAATCATTAGTGCTATCAGCATATATGTCTTAGGAGAATAGACTCCCATCCTAGCACAGACCGACCTCCATTTATTGTAAGTACAAGGGTGAAGATGCCGGGCTGACAGAACGTGCTGCACCCTCCCAGGCAACGGCTCTCCTTGTCAAAGTCCCCGAGTAACACGAGAAGCATCAGGCAACTAAGATGCTATCAGCTTCGCGTGCGTGTCTCCCGGCTGAAACGTGGGGGCTTTCTCTTCTCACTGGGAGAATTCTCCAGTAACCAGGAGAGTTCTTTACATGAATAACAGGAAAAGGAGATTTTATATGTCTCGGTTGCTGTGGAGCTCGTGTACTTTGAAGATGCTCAAATACATCTCTAAATGTCCCCAAATCTTCCTTACATGAGGCAAACGTCTTTTTCTGAAGGCTTTATCATCACCTGTCAGCAGCCAGTGACACATCTGATATTTGGCTCTCTTCCTAGACCAAACGTAAAAGTTGTCCCCAAAATGAATTACAGAGTAACTGGCAGTGCAAACTGTTTGACTGAACTTCATTTTTTAAATTTATCTTTTTTTTCTCCTCCCATAATCAAAAGCTCAAGTATCTGAGGGAGCCATTTTAATGACTCTGCTCTTAAGTAATAATTAAAGCCTCCGCTACAAGGAGGTTTTCGTCTTTATAAATGTCAGCCCAGCGCTGAGGAACCCGAGCTGCTTCTCGGCAGCTCCACACTACAGCCAGGAAGATATAAAATTCTGAAATTTCTTTTTGCCATTTATACAATTATAAATCACGGGCCAAAGTTAAAACCCAATTCAAGTATGTGCCTTTCACTAATTATCTAGCCAACAATTAGTGGCATGCATTCTAATAATAGAACTCCTCTAGAATTACTAAGGTAACTATGATGAGGCTGCAGAAAGATTTCAATACCTGAATTCACTTACCCTTAATTCTATAACACATAATTTGAGAATTCATGAATATGATTGGTTTCTGTCATTGGATTTTTTTAAAAAACATACACACAAATCCTTTTTTTCTATAAAAGAGAGTAAAAATGGATATTTTAAATTTCCTTCTTTTTTCTTTTTTATGAGATGTTTATTTTTCTTCCATACAAATAGGTGAACATGTGCAGTGAATACAAACTGGTGTAATTGCTTTTTGCGTTTTCTTTTCTTTTCTTTTATTCTTACTTAGGATTCCAAATTTTATTTTATTTTTAAAAAATTTTTTGCTTATTTTTTATTTTTTAATTGCAGTAACATTGGATTATAACATATTCTTTTTCTGATACACAAAATTACGAAAATATGTCTGACTCTATTAGGATTAATAAATCACGATGAATCTTTTCACTCTCTTTGGGTTGACAGGCATAAGGGAAAAAATAAGGTGTGGGAGAACCCATGAAGCAAAGAGCTATGGATCACTCGCTGTATGCCAGATGCTGTACGCCAGGAACAGAAAAGGAAGAAAGGGACATGTTGCACCCTTAGCATGCAATTTTGTGAGGGAACAGACAGATAAAAAGATTATATTAAAACGAAAAAGCACAACGATGTGGAGAGCACAGAAGAGAGTTACCCATGCTAGACGGTGAGGCAAGGGGTAGAGAGCAAAGGGAAGGAGGGACTGTGTGTCAGAACAAGCCACAGCATGACTGTCAGAGGACAGCTGGGGAATTTAGGGTGACTTTCACAAAGTGTGAAGAAGTGAATGGTGGGAAATGGGGCTAGAAAGAAGCCAACTCGAGAGGGGTCTTGTATGACTCACAAGGAGTTTCGGGATGATCCTGGGAGCCACTGAAGGATTTTAACAGAAGAATTCAGACTAATATTTTATATTAGCTACTCTAGGAGTGGTATGAGGGAGGGCTTTGTGGGAACTCACATTAATTGAGCAGCTATGATATACCAGCTTCTTGACTTACACTACCTCGCTGAATCCTCACAACATCCTGGATACCGCTGTTTCCATTTCATAGCTGGGGAAGGGAGACCAAGAAAAATGAAACGGTTTCCAAGACCCCACAGTTGGTAAGTGGTAACACTGGAATTAAAATGCTGTCTGGTATGCAATCCCCGATTTTCCAACTATGCCACCACATTGCACAAAATGCAAAATGAAACATGAACCACCCGTGTGCAACCTAAGTTTCATGACCAGTACATGGATGCTGCCATCAATTAAAGCAGAAGTCACAGTGTTAATGCAGGAGGGGAATCTGGGGAATGGGGCCAGGGACAGGAACATTACTATCCACACTCCCCAGTAAGGCAGATTACATGGAGAAATCCCCAAATGCTTTCTCTATGGAGTTTATATCCCATGGCACTTTGTTAAAAGGAATGACTTATTCTTAAATCACAGTCTCAATCTTTGTCAATTCCTGTCCTATCTGCTTTGTTTGGGTGTGTGTGAGGGCAGGACAGGGGAGAAGGGTGGGGTCTGGGGAGAAATCACATTGATAATGAAATGTTTCAAAATACGTTACTA